AATTATATAATTATGAAGTCATTTAATGTTATTATATTTTTTAACTTAAAATGATAGTATAATAATGAGTTTAACTAAATTAAATTATTAAGGTATAGTGTTAATATTAAAAAATAATATTCTTATATTTTAAGATAAAAAAAGAATAAAAATAAAAATTAGATAACATTTAACATAAAATGAATAAGATTAAAAATTACCCATGTTGTACCTGTTTAACATGTTTTTATTATTTTAAAATAATATTATTTGACCTGATTATAAGGTCAGCCTTGTTGTAGCACTCATCGACTTTGGAAGACCAAAAAAAAAAAAGGATAAATATCCACAAGATCGGACAATGTACAATTCTGGTGCAAATATTAGGAGGCGTTTGGTGCATAAAGAGTAGATCATTTTACAAGGATTTTAATTGATGGGAACCACTTGCACTGTTTTGTATATAATTTTGTTGAAAATGTAATTTTACATGGGTATTAGATTGCAACCGTGGGAAGGAAAGGGATTCCCTCATAGATTGGAGGGAATATTACCTTCCCATAACTAAGGGAACCTTCCCATAACTAGAATGACAATAAGCCCCTATAGCTGAACTCCTTGAGGAGGAGAGAAAGGCGCCACTTGAATTTGGTGATGGAAGCAACAAGGAAGAAAAGCAAAAGAAAAAAATATGAAAGAAGAAGGCCCATTGGAAGGACATGGGTGCAAGAAGAAACAAGAAAAAAATAAATGAAAGAAAAAGAAAGAAAGTCGTCGATTGTGTGGCAACTTAACTTATTAATTAATATTTTTTATAAAATTAATTAAATTAATTTTTAAAATATAATTAATTTATTAAAAATAAATATATAATAAATATATATTTAAATAATTAGTGTTAAAATATTATATTATTTTCACCATGCTATTATTTATTATTTTAAAAATAAAGTTGAAAAAAATTAAAAATTTACATTAAAACAGAAAGTACGTTATCTAATTCTATATTTTCATATATAAAGATAATTTTCTAAATTTATCTTAAATTTTTAATAAAGTGTTATTAAATCAACACTACAATGCAATCACATTCTTTACCAAATTATATTTACTCAATAATTACATTTCAATAAATTACTAAATGCCAGCTTAATGTTTCTAAAACCCTATACATTGGCCAATTATTTCACATTGCATCAAGAAACTTGAAAAACTTGAATTTTATAAGGTGAAGAGAGAGAAGTATTTGGATAAATGGAAACTGAAAAAAATATAAAAAAATTATTATTCTAACATCTAGACAGGAATAATTTATAAAGGAAAAATATGTTCAATAATATAAAAAAAAATAAAAGCACCTTATACATCAAAGTACTCTAAAACTTTTTTTTGAATGGCAAATTACTCCAAAACTCTAGTTGAACTAAATTTTAAATTTTAATATTCTTCTATTGTAGAAATGTAGACAGAAATATGCATGCGAGCATAAATACACACTTTGATGAATATTTCATCACTAATAAAAGTCTGGTACTCCTACTGTATCTCGTTTAGTATTCCTTATTAATTGAAAACCGAAAAAAAAAAAATGTTCTTCTGACTTGACAGATGCGTTTGAGGTGACAACCAACCCCGTAACTCCCTCTTTCCCCTACCTACGACAAAGAAGCCGAAGCTGCTGATATGAGACTGCATCATCATTGGTCAATTCTACATCGAAGACCACTGTTTACATGGGAGGAAGAGTCATATCAGCGGCTTATCTGCAAGCTGAACCATATTGTCCTTTGGCACAACAAAGAGGACAATTTGATATGGAGAAAGAGCAGTCAAGGAAATTTCTTATTTAAGAAATTCTCTGTTATGCTTGATCAATAGCTTTACCTGAGCCCACAATTGGTTTCGCTTTATTTAGAAAATGACAGTCCCCCTCAAGGTCCGGTGCTTTCTTGGTCAACCATCCTAGACTAAATGCTAACCAAGATCTTCTTGAATTCCCGAGGGGTACGTATAGAGCACAACTAATTGCTATGTTCCTGGTGTAATACCATTGACGAGAGGCTGCTCCCATACCTTACTAACTTGTCCTTTCAGCTGGCCCCTTTGGGGCCTTATCTTCCAGCGTGGTGGGGTATTTCTTGGACCATGCCACCATTAGTGGAAACTTTGCTTCGATCATGGCAACTCTTTTGTTGGGGGTCCTCAAGAACAGGTGGATGACTGTTGGCGAACCAGCTTTATGGCCCATTTGGCCAGTTCGAAATGAAACCGTCTTCAATTCGAAAATTTGGGATCGTAAGCAGATTCTCTTTGCTAAGAAACCACGCTCAATGTTTTGGATTAAAGCATGTGAAGGGAACGATGCCATTGATGATGTTGGATGGTGGTGCGAGCTTTGGAAAGCAAATGTTGTCTTCACATCTATTCACACACAGTCCGGGATTTCATGGTTACCACTAAGGGAAGGGGAACTTAAATTCAATATTAATGGATCTAACTTCTAAGCTTTGTTGGTGTAGTTTCAAAATTAAAAATTATGTCACATAATGAAAATATCTTAACTCAAAAATTATGTCACATAAAATGACATAGTGAGATTATTGAATTGTAAGCAAATTTTTAAATGAATGATTATGTCTCTTAGTAAAATGACATAAAAAATTATAAAATAAATTAAAAAAATACCATAACTCAAAAATTTAAATATGAAAAGTTATTATTTTAAATTATAATTCAAAAATTATGTTTTATGGAATGAATAGTTATCTTCTCATAAAATAATTATTTAAACAATATTTTTATTCAAGAGTTGTATTTGATAAAATATAAAAATGTCTTTCAGATAAAATGATACTTTAAAGAAAGGATTGTGTCCTTGAAGAAGAGACACTTGCAAGCTTATATAAAAGGCTTGTTGCTAACCATTTTGATATATTAAATCAAAAACAAAACAAGAGCAAAAATATCAAGAGTAAAAAAAGTGTTGTGTTCTATTAATATAAACATTTAGGTTTTCATCAATTACAAAAGTGTCTAAATTCTTTGTAATTTACTTGCTGCAGAAAATAAGTTTTAAGGTTGAATAACTTTCCAAACTCTCGGATGTATTTAGAAGTTTACGCTCGTAAAATGTAAGACGAAGTTAGACATTGATTTTATTGCATCCCTAAAACTATTCGTATTATTTTTCTTTGTATACCGAGTAGGGGGCGAAATAAGCCTTAAAATAACGTCTATTGAAAAGTTAGCCTTGAAGTCAATTTGACTGATCTTTAAATTCCATCTAAACTCCATTTGCACCAACAAACTTCACGAGGTGTTTATCTTTCTTATTGATGTCTGGACAAGGGATCTTCCCATGTCCCTCACTGATTCACGTTTCTGGGTAAGTCTTGGATCAATTTGATACTTAATAAAATTTTTTTTTCTAAAGTAAATATTTAAATAAAGTTTATTTTATTAAAATTAAAAAAAATTACTAAAATTTTTAATTAAATAAATTGATTATCATATAAAATAGAAACAATATAAAAAATTAAAATAAACTTTAAATTCAAGTAAAAGAAATAGTTGAGAAAAAATAGGTTGGAGATCATTAAATATATATTAATATTTGTTGATTGAAAATAACAAAAATAATTGAAAATCAATAATATTATAGGAATTGAAAAGTAATAAAAAATTATGATTTATTAAGCACATAATTAGAAAAGTGAGAAAAATATATTGTTTTGTTAATTATCTTGATTTTTACATGAAAAATAAGTCAAATAGTTGAGAATTAATGAAAATGTGAAAGAGGAATAAAATAAATATTTATTAAGATTAAGAGAATAAATAAATATTTTATTAATTATTTTAATTTTTATATTTTATATATTTTTAATATAATTAATTATATTATTATTTTAAAATTACAAACTTATAAAAATATGGGGCCTAAAGCCTCTGCTTTGATGGCCTGACCGTGAGCCGGCCGTGTCTTTTTCCTTGGAAGTTTTGCTCTCACCAACTCAATCTTATAGCTGACAAGTATTGTATGTAAGCAATTTGACAATAATGATGCCAATATAAAAGCAACCCAGAAAAGATATATATATATATATATATATATGTATATATAAAGGAAGAGAACAATTGAAGTTCTCTTAAATGGTAATCTAATTATAAATTTATAATATATAATTGTATGTTTCAATTTCTTTTCAAGTTTTCATTCAAACTTAATAAAATCTATACGCAAGACTCCCCTCTCTTTTCCATACAATATTAGTAACTGAAGGTCTAATCTTGTTCATTCTTCAACTGTGGTTCTCATGTGGCTTCAGTAATGCCGAAAGCAATCGACGTCTACTGGTCCAGCAACTGAAGTAGAAGGGGCTGTAAAATATGGTACTATTTATTACCCTAACGACACTTTCATCCAAATTAGCAACGCACACCATTAGAAAACGGATATCAAATGGTACAAAAGATTTTTGTTTCGACATGGAACGTGTGACTGTAATGAACATAAATCCTCAGCCTCCACTGAAGTACCTCTCTCGGTGCTCCTCTCAAAATTTTGGTTTTGATTAATAACAGAAAACTGAACATGAGATATAAAATTATAAAAAGACAATAAACGAGATACCATATATATAAGTAGAAGATTTTTATTCGACTTCAATATATATATATAAAAGTATAGCTACTGTTTACAGCACCGTGGTAACATTTAGGTTTGTTCAATTTATCATCATATATAATTTTCAATAGGTGTGAAGTTAAAAGGGTTAGAAACCTTTGAAAAGTGACACCGACATGCCATTTCAAATCTCAAGCTTAGATTGCAAAAAAACTATCAGTAAGGATGAAAGAAACCTGTACAATTTTCTCTATGACCCAGCCACTCAACAAGATTTTGTTAGCATCTCTAAACATAGAACCTTGATAGTTGATATACCAAGAAAGAAAATTTAAGCTTTACATAGATTTAAAGAAACCTTCCTAAAAAAACCAACAGTAGCATCTTATATTCCCTACGATGGACCTGGACCGTCGAATACATCAGGGAAACGATCGTCTATCCTATAATAGGAAATATCGTTATCCAGAATAGGAGCTGTAGGGTCACTGAGCATCAAATACATTCCGTAAGATGATTCGTCTTCATGTTGTAATGATCCGTAAATAGGATTTGGCTGAGATGCAATGTCCTCAAGCTCATTATTCGTTTCAGGCATTACAGATGCTTCATTCTGTGATACAATCACATTCGCCTGAGGGGCACTATTCGCTGCATCCTCACCGTTCTTTTCCTTCTTATTGTATAGCTTGCACAAAACCCAGTCATCCAACTACAACCCCAAACGTTAGTTCAGAAAAATAAATCAATACAAATACTAATATTAAGCATATTAGTTGTTACTATAGATATGGAATATTATACTATAAACCTTAAAGGCGAGCACAAGGGAATTATGAAGGTCAAGTATTAAGTAAATATTACTTGTTCAAGTATAAACTAGTCGCTTAAAAAGTTATGGCATTGTACTATATACGCCAAATACATATGTGTGTGTGATGAATGAGGTGAAGAAGGCCTATATAATAATTTTCTTCGTGTGTTTATTGCAAGCAAGTAAATTATTACCTTCATATCATTCTTGGCCCTGCCATTGTTTTGAGAAGTGTTGTCTTTGACTTTATATTCGTGCATTTTCCAATCAGTTTTTCTCCCTCCTGGGTGCTTCCCTTCGTAGAAATCAAGGGTCTTTTTGTATCCAATAGGGTGCCTAGAATCAGGGGGAATGGCCTTATCAGTTCCAGTTGGCTTCCAATATCCCTTAGGAGTAGCACGATTTGGCCTTGATCCATTCGGATATTTTTTCTGTCTTGGAGTGAAAAAATACCACTCTGTTTCTGTCAATGGTTTGAATTCCGCTGAGCCAAGACAAATAGTTGTAGTCAGGTTTTCATGAAGCTCAAGTCAAGTCATGCAAACAAGTTAAAAGCAATAATTTATAACGCATCTATCAATTAACCTAACCATGCAAGTGTCTGATCAATAAGCCTTCGTACCGATTTTACTATTATATATGCATGGAATAAAGTTAATTAGTTTTATGAATATATAGAGCTAATTAATTAATTACTCACCGGCGAGCTCCGAAGGATCTTTGCTGTAGAGATTAACCTCGCTAATGCGGTTACGAGGTAAGGTTTCGTTGTTCACCTTCTTCTTTAAGTAATGCTCAATCAACTCCTCGTCAGAAGGGCAAAATCGATATCCATAAGGAAGGGAGTTGAAATATTCTTCAAGTAAGTCGGTTTCATCGCTACCAGAGCAGGTGGGATCAACGTCTATACCATTAGCAGCAGCTGAAAGTTGCATGTTATTTTGCTCATGGAATTGCTCCATGCTTGGAACTTGAAAGCTAATTATGAAGATTCAAGAGCACAGAAAAATATCAATTACTAATTCCATATTGTGAAATTAAACTATCTTTTATAGCCAATCACTTTTGGGCAAGGTAGACTTCCACCCTTTCTGTTAGTATTTTAATTTTTAAAAGATTTGGCCGTCAACCAGGTTTTCTAGAAAAAATTTGGAGTCCATTTATATTTAGACTACCTAAGTTCCTATAAACAAGGACTCCTAACTTTGAGAAAAAATCGTACGAATTTTTTTTTATTACCAAAATTGAATATAATTGTTATTATGATGTCACACATAATCGGTCCTATGACCTCTAAAAATAACTATAGTATTGCCAAAATCACAATTAATTACTTACAAATATTCCATGATTGCATGTTAACTAGCTTATTGATAATTTTGTTTGTATAATTTATCATGGGGCAAAATCTATAGCTGTAACGACGACATATTAAGACCCCCATGATTGATTTTTTGTCATGGAATTGAAATTGTGGCATTATTCGAAATTTATGAGGTTAACCATAAAATTATATCCATGCGTAGTGAACTCTCTTTATTACATAGTTAAAAAAAAATGACTTCTTTTAATTTAATTTAATACTTATTTTTGCTCCATATTTTATCTTAAATTAATAATAAATCATGGCATTAAGTAGGGGCAAATGTGTTACATTAATTTACATTACAAAAAAATTTAAAATACATACACTTACCATTAAATCAAATTCTCATTATTTGACTTAATGATTATTTACCTCTCAAATTTTTTTTTGAAAGAAGATTAAATGAAAATAGATACTAAAGAATGAAATCATTCTTTTTATAATCAAGATGAGGAATTACAATCTCAGTCAATGAATTTATTAGGGAAATTTAAAAAAAAAAACATATTGAGAAATGGTTCATGTTAGCCAGATTCTTCAAGTAGTGATCAATCAAGTCTTCTTCATCAGATGAAAAACGATATCCAGAAGGAAACGACTTGAATCAGAGAATAAACTCTTTGGTCAACAGGGAGAATTCCACGCCTTGTCAACAGGATGGGAATGTACGGACGATTCAGTAATTAACTTAGGGACTTGTTTAGGATCGGATAGGGTATAGAGGTACAGTTTTAGGCGCATTAAAAATAAGAGTTCAATTCGATTTACACTATCTAAGTTCCTGCTAACTAGGAACCTCTAACGCTTAGAATCTTTCTTTTTCTTTTGAAAAATAATTCATTTAAAACCTATACTGTGCTTATTGTTAGGGGAAAGATTTGGCCGTCGATCAGCGTATTTCACTGTTTTTTTTATCAATTTATTATGCTCGTCACTGTTTTCCTATCACACAATTATATTTATTCTATTATTTATTATTGTTTTTGAGCCTTGTTAATTTGATAAAATTTTTAAGTATTAATGATTATTTAAATTAATTTAGTATTGGAGTAAAATTTTATTAACTCTCCCAGCTCTTTGGTGCAGTCTTAAAAATTAACTTGAAATTGTGTCTGTAAGTAGAATTTCATCATAGGGATTAATTCCAGTAATTATTAATTTGGCATTAATTTGTCATGCTTTAGAGGTAATAAACACAATAAGAAAATTAAACAAATAACTTCATAAAAAGAGACTAGTTTAAAGTATTTATACCTCAAAAGGAGCCCTCTTGAATTGGACTTGAGCCTTTGGGCTTGTAATTGAAACAAAGAAGGCTCTAAGTGGGCCTGGATGATCCGGCCTGATTTTGCCGTCCTACTCTTTGATTTCTTTCTTTACTTCTTTCCCGCTTCTTTTTTTCTCCTTCCTTTCGTAATACGGCGTCGTGCTTTCCTCCTTCCAGCCACCTTTTGTTTTTTAATATTCCTTTCTTACACCAAACGGCGTCGCCTGGATGAGTTATCTTCCTTCTCTTTTCAAATTGTCTTTCCCTCCCACTCTACCCTCTCCTTCTCTCCCAACGCCGGCCATGGCCGCCCTCGCCGCTGTGCCGATCGACGGCCACCAAAGATCTTCAAAGATTCAAAAATACCTCTCTTCCTCTTCTTCCCTTTTATCAGACCCACTTTTCCCAAAAATTCCCTCTTTTCTCCTAGATATAAGAAAAACTGAGACGCCCTTTTCAAAAAAAATAAAACTCGAAACACTCCCCTTTTTTATGTTGTTTGATTCACCATTTTCTCCCTTTTTGGCTTTTTCTTGTTGACGTGTGTTGTGTTTTTGGGTTTTCTTGGTGGGGTTCGTTGTGGATCTTTTTGTGTAGATGTGTTTGTGGTGGTTTTGCTTGCTTTTCTTGCTGAAAATTTCTTCAGAAAAGAAAAGAAAATGCTCCAGGGAAAAAACTAACTTGTGATTTCGGGTTTGGGTGTTTTAAAGGAACGCTTGCTGACAATGGCAAATATTTTTCAACTCTGAAACTCAGCTTTGCTTGCTGTTTTGGTTACATTGATTGATTTTGTTGTATTTTTTAATCTTTGAAAATCCCCATTTTTTTGTTTTTTTTTTTTGTTCATTTTGCAATTTGGATCCATAACTGAAGGCCCAATTAACCCATTAACAATACCCTTAAATTCGAATAATATACCGGGCCTTCACCCCAATTAATTAATTTGGCTTTCAAGCACTCAAACTTCGAGACCCAAATTAAGATAAGTCCAAATTACTCGAACTAAACTAATTATCTAAAGGGACTTAATCCGAATTACTCGAAAATTCATTAAAAAACTGCAAACAAAATGAAATGTCTACAAGCAATTTTTTATAACACTTAAAATAAATCCAAGAAGGAACTGATAGCTTAGTGAATTTCATGAATAGTAAGAACCATTAATTAAGATCATGAACGATCTCGAATAGTCAATGTACAATTTTCCTTGAAGCCATCAATCCTGCTTTGCTCGGTAAACAGGAGTGGATTGAGGTTGGTTCAACAGGAGAACTCTTTATTGGCTCCAACTGTAAAGCCGCGTTAGGGATATGGAGTTATTATTGAAGATATACGAGGGATTTTGCATCCCCTTACTTTGTATCTTATGTCTAAACAAGTCAATTGAAGAAAGAAGATAACTAGATCAATTGTCCTTGTTAAGTTTACTATTTGTAATTAACAATCTTGGAATTTATCATCTCAAATTGCTGCATTACACCAAAATATTTGACATAGTGTGTATATATAACAGAATCAGCACTATGATTAGGTTAGGTCAGCTACACCTTAAATTAGCATTCAATCTTCCCAACATCCCTTTCTTTAAACTTTGAATGCGATCTTTAATTATTCCTTTCTCATCTAGCACATCAGACCTATTTAAACATCCATTAGCGTCAAAGTAATAAATATGATTTCTACCATATCTATCAAACCATATAAAAATCCCTTTATATTTAACACCATCATGTTGCAATTATAAATAATAAGAGGTGACATATAATTAAAAATTATCAAATAATTATATATATATTCTCACTTTTCTTTAAAATTAATCTGATAAATTATTATTAAATATTGAAATTATAAATAATAATTAATTAAGTATCACATATTGATTTATCAAAACGAAAAATGTGATAAAAAAATTGTATTGTATGCAACGATTTTTCCGTAAACAGTTGTGCTCTCCTGTTACTTAAACAACATAAATCTTAATCCTGGGTGCTTGGAGACGGGCATACGCCCTTATCAATGAATCAAAACTTGTACGAAAACCTGTACAGCTTGCTTAATACTTGGATCAACAGCAACCAATTGTTGATTTTCCAATACAAGAAAGGAATCACCCTGCCATAGATAGCTGTTATGTACTTGAGCATTTGCATGGGAATGTGACTCTCGTGTGTGAACAAACACAAGCTTGATTTTGAACTCTTGGAAAACCAAATTGGAGCTAATTACGGAGAACAATGAAAGTATCATATGGGTTCCAACGCATGCATGTAGCAATGTGTAGAAAATTTGCCACTTAGATTTTGAAAATACAGAGACAAAGAGACACCTCTCACGGCTAATTTGGTGCCACTTGAACATGGGTCTCACCTTCCTCTCTCTTTCTACTTTTGCGTATAAAATTAAATCTGGGTGGCCCTTTTCTACGGCCTACTTTGTCTTTTTCATTTCTTTATTTAGAGTTCTTTGGACGCTGCTGCTTCAACAGCAGAACGATGGCTTGGCTACTCTCTCTCTGCTTTACTCTCATTTTCTCTCTGTGCAATGGCTCTCGTACTCCCGTCACTTCCCCATACCTTGATGGTAAGTAAACAGTAAACTTTTCTGTTTTTCAGACATTGTGCTACATGAGTGTAATTAACACTATTTTATCTGTGTTTCTCATTTGTATTTTTCAGGATATTTAGACAATGGTAACTTTGAAATAGCACCCAAGAAAGAGAACCTCAACAAAACAGTGATCCTAGGAAAACTCTCACTTCCAGGATGGGAAATCAATGGCTTGGTGGAGTTTGTCTCAGGGGGGCCACAACCTGGGGGATTTTACCTCGCCATCCCTCGGGGAGCCCATGCTGTGAGGCTTGGCAACGAGGCTTCCATCTCTCAGAATGTGAATGTCAAGCCAGGGTATATTTACTCTCTCACATTTGGTGCCACAAGGACTTGCGCACAAGATGAGGTGCTGAGGATATCAGTCTCTGGCCAGACGGCAGACATCTCCATTCAGACCCTGTATAGCACTGATGGAGGCGACACCATTGCTTTTGCTTTCAATGCAACAGCTAAAGTAGTCAAGGTCACATTTCATAACCTTGGGGTTCAAGAAGATCCAACTTGTGGACCTCTCTTGGATGCCATAGCAATCAAAGAAATGAGTCCTCTAAGATATACCAAAGGTAAATCAAGTTCTTTTAATTTCTTTTAAGCTTCATTCGTTGGTCTTAATTTAGAATCATTTACTTGCATTATGGCCTAAAATCACTCTAATGCAGTCTTTAGATCAGTTAAGATTAACTTTACTAGAACGTCAAAGCTCTCGGTCACTGATGTTCAGAAAAGAAAAGAAAAGAAAGACAGATGATGATTAATTAATTGATCGTGTAATTGGACCAGCATTTAAGAAGTCCCACTTACAAATGCAAATAGATTCGTGCGCTTTTTAAGGAGTCCCCTTTGGCCTTTACAAAAAGCAGAGGAGTCTGAATAAATGTGCCCTGTTCAAATCACCTATAGCAAAGTAGCTTGGCCCTTATGTTATACCAACAGATGCCTTTTCCATTTAATTTTCCTGCCAGATTTCACGCTATAGTCTTTGACTAAAGGCGTTAGTTATATTTTTATACTATATAAATGTAAAAAAATTTACTTCATGTCCCTCAAAGCAGGTAACCTAGTCAAAAACGGTGGGTTTGAGACTGGTCCCCATACCTTCAAGAACTTCTCAACAGGGGTCCTCCTGCCTCCCAAGATGCAAGACAAAATTTCACCACTCCCTGGCTGGATCATTGAATCCCTCAAACCTGTGAAATACATTGACAAGAAGCACTTCTCGGTTCCTTCAGGACTCTACGCGATCGAACTGGTAGCTGGAAGAGAGAGTGCCATTGCCCAAGTCATCAGAACAGTTCCTAACAAATTCTACACCCTCGCATTCACTGTTGGAGATGCCAAGAACGGTTGCCATGGATCAATGATGGTCGAAGCATTTGCTGGTAAGGAAACTCTCAAGGTTCCTTTTGTATCTCAAGGAAAGGGTGTATTCAAGACGGCAAGTTTCAAATTCCAAGCAATCTCAGCCAGGACAAGGATCACCTTTTACAGTGCCTATTACCACACCAAGTTACATGATTTTGGTCATATGTGCGGCCCTGTCTTGGATGATGTGAGGGTTCTGCCTGTCTCTTAGTCAAAAGTCAGAAGTTTGTTTCCCGCATAATATAGGACTTCGGCTTTTGTTTTTTTGGAGTATGGAGGCTTCTAACGGGAAAATTTGGCGTTGGGCCTTTTATTACATAGCAAGGTCATTGGAGTCATACTTTTTAATATCTGGAATCTTGAAGAGTGATTTTGGACTTGTTTAAGTTTCAATAGTGTGAATTGAATGATAATTAAGAGTAAATTATCATTCCAAGTTTAGATTAATAAATCAAATTTTTATTATTTATTTTATAAATTTTAATATTAAAATTTATAAATTTCATCCATAATTATAGAATATACAAATTATGAATAAATTAATTATATAAAAATATATTATTTTATTATATATATATATATAATTAATGACATAATTTTTATATTATAATAATTTAATTTTTATATCAAAGTTTGTATAAATAATAACTAATTATAAATAATATATTATAAAAATTAAAGTGATAACTAATAAAATTATTAAATGTAATCATATAAATAAAATCTATTATAAGTTACAGTAATGTTTATGTATAAATTAAATATATGTATATGTATAATATATTATTATATATATATATGAAATTAACAACTTATATGTTATAATGTTTTATATCCAAGTTTGTATAAATAATAATTAATTATAAATAATATGTTAAAAAACTAAAATGATAATTAATAAGGTTATCAAGTGCAATCATATAAATAAAGTTTATTATAAGTTATAATATTACTTATATATAAATTAAATATATATAATATTTTTATAATTATATATATTCATAAAATTTTATATTACGAACCATTATCAAGGTATAATAATTACAACATATTAATAAGTAGGATATTTATTATCATATATTATAATATTAATATATAAATTATTATTTAAAATATATAACTTATAATTTCATATTAATACAAATTTATAAATAAAATATATAATTAAAATTAAATTATTATGATTATAATTTGTATATATATATATAATAAATTAATATATTTTAAATATATTATTCATTAAGTTTGTTATTAATTTTTCATAATATATATATATATAAAATCTATATATAAAAAATTAATTTAATTTGTAAATGGATTGATTTAAAAATTTTAAAATTGAGAACGGATAAAAAATTAATTAAATATTTTGAATCAATTAATTTAATAAATTAATTAAATTAACTTATTTTATTCAAATCATATTTAATTTAAATGAATAATTGATTTTACTCACCTCTATTTTTTTTGCAAATTTAGTGAGCGGACGGTGGACCCTTTAAATTAATTGTTTCATATTTTAGATTTGTCATATTTCCATTAAAATCAAAACTGAAAGCTTGTTAGCCGTAGAGGAGGTTCCTCTGTACTTGCAAAGACAAACTTAGATTTTGGCGGTTTTCTTTGATCTTTGAAGCAAATGAGAGCACTAATCTGAGAAGGAGTGGAGTCCAAGAGGGTATCTCAAAAACCCATTTCTACCAATTCATCGTTTTGTTGACTTTTTAACTTCTTTCTAGGTGAAGTTCTTTCTCTATTTAGCTGTTACTCTTTATATTAAAAAGTGCAGGTGTTTCTTTCGTGAAATGAATTTATTTTGGTAATGAAATTGTTAGCTGTTAAGAATTGAAAAAGGTTTGCATTACATGACAAAAATGCTTCTTTTTTTTTTTTTCATTTTTCATTCAGATTTATGCATTTGTTTTCGCTGCCATTTACTTATTTGTTTTAGTTTTAATACTTAGAGAAAGAATTTAATAATGGGTACAGCTCTTTCCTACTCATTTGATTTGAGCAAAAATCTTAGTACTACATATCTAGTAATTTAAGTTAACATGCCTGATTTAATTATGGGTGTGTGAATAGTTAATATATCTGGTATCTCATTACTCTGTTTTTAATTTTTGTCAATGTAAATGTACATTTTTCTGCAATGAATTATTTAAGTTTTGGTCAGTTTGGTAGCAGGATGTCAAAGTCGGGAGCATTGGATCTTGTTTCTGGGGTTGGTGGAAGCATTGAGAGAAAGGAAGTATTCTCCGCTGTTCAAAAGTAAGTCTTAGCTTTTCTCCTTTTACTTCCATTGTTATTTTTGTTCTTTCTGGTTTAGACGCACACCCACTTGACACATTTGCTGATATATGCCATCGACTTGTTTTAGAACTATTTTGGCTTCTAGTAGGTTGTTGTTTTTTCACTATTTCTTCTTCAAACAAATAAAAAAAAAAAATCATATTTGATTTAAAATGAGCAAATAAGTAAATGTGGGCAAGACTTTGGCATGATCCTTTAGGTCGAGTTCTTGAGGTTCACCCTTCAAAATGATTAGATAAAAACCAACAAATTGAAAATCAAACCAATAGACTGAAAGGTTTTGTTACATAGATCAAGTGTACAAATTTTGAAAAAATTTGAATAAAATTTGGTACTTTATTTTAAATACGTATTTTATTAAAAATTATGATAGTTTTCACCAGTCAATAAATAGTGATCAAAACTTGTTTATAGATAGTATCTTTTATTAGCTTTTTACATGTTATCGATCTTCTCATTGAATTTTATTGATTGTTGGTTCTAGTTTTCAATATTAATTTTCATTTGACCATTTTCTAAGAAGGAACCTCACGAACTTGACTTAAAGAACCTTTTCTGAGTTCTGCCTAATAAATGTAACACACATGTAAGCTTGTTATTTCATATAAAATATCACCAGTGCATTTTGATATTTATAAAAATATAGTTTTAGAATTTTAATAATTCAGAAATATTATTTGCTTTCCAAACATGTTTTTCTTTTTAAACTTTTATTTTGGGAAGCAAAATAACTACCAAATGGAGTCTAACTGGCTAAGTAGTTCCAAAACTTCTCATGTCTCCTAGTAACTAAACACACAATGTTCGGTTCCTTCTTTTGTTATTTTTACTTAAAGTTAGCTGTGCCACCTCTTTATAAGCTTTGAGAACTTGCATGAAATTGATTTAATCGTAGATCAAGCACCCAAATTAAAAAGGTCTACTCACATTAGGTATATAAATGCTTCTGGTAAGGGTCATGAAGTCAAACTATCAATTGGATAGTAGATATTGCTGACCCAACCTAAGCATCACCTACCCATAACTAAGTGTAAAAGATATTATATCCATTTAGTTCTCTTTTCAGTTTGAAATAATTGGTTTTTGGTAAATGTTTAGTTTTGGTTTTTAATGACAGTAACTTTAATTTGGACTTAGGTATGAAAAGTATCATGTTTGTCATGGAGGAGATGATGAAGAGAGGAAAGCTAACTACACAGATATGGTAATGCAAAGTTGCCTTTTGTTGTGTTATCTTTTATTAGCATGATTCAGACAAGGGCTATCGAAATTTTGTACTAAAGGTTGTAGATTATAGTGGATATTAAGCTGCAACTAACTTCAAACAAGAAGACACTTTAATTGCTGACAATTGTAATTTGTCGCTTTTGTATATTAAATTGATTTTTGCTATTATGAAAGTGCAGTCTGAAATCTCTAGGTGTATTTTCATGGAAATAATGTATTTTTCATGATTACATTTTTACTGCTGTTTTGACAAAAAAGGCCAACCTGTGATGATATTATTATTATTATTATTATTATTATTATTATTTTGGGGGTGGGGGGATATATATGGTGCTTGTTTGGAACCAAGATTTGATTTGTATTTTAATTCCTTTTTTACTTATTGGTGCAAGCTTGTGAATGGTAGTGCTCTCTTCTGTGTCTCACATTTTAATCATCTGAGGAACACAGGTTGATTCTTAGATGTGGTCAATCTTTTCCCTGTTCTCTATGAAACTTAAGTTTAATTAGCTATCATAGAAAATAATTCTGTCTTAGCTGTGATTCTGTGCATGAAATGCTAAGATTGTGAAAGAGATTAGAGATCCTAAATCATCTTGAGATTGGAAATCCTGCAAAATTATTTTACTGAGTAGGAGAGCACTAATATTGTCATGTCAGATTAATGAAAAGTGAGACCCATACATGCTCACACGGCAAGTTTTAATTACTTGTCACACTTTGATTTATTTGGTCAATTGTTGACATGATAGGAAGGGCCTATCTTATAATTTTTTGACATTAGAAGTCCCTATTTATTAATTATGGTTCCTATATCAAGAATCTTAAATTTCTTTTCCTTCATTAAGTTTCTGATTAGTAATCTACATATCCATGTTAGTGAGATGTTTGCATTTATTCCAGGTCATCATTTCCGATGCCGTTGGAGTCCAGTCATTTTTTATGTTTAGGCAGAAAATTGGGTTTATTTTTTAATTGAAAAAGGAGATTCATTTTCTTTCTTGTTTTCCTTTTTAATTATCTTGGTGCTGCTAAATGTTCAAAAGTTGAATTACACTTACTTTCATTGAGGACCAATGACTTGTGCCTCTCAGGTTAACAAGTATTATGATCTTGTGACAAGTTTTTATGAATATGGTTGGGGTGAATCTTTCCATTTTGCACCAAGGTAAGGAGTTGTTGTACAAATGGTTGGATCATCCTTTGGGAGTGTATGCAATTTGCTACAGTGTTGGTGATAATTAATGGATTGTATGGTTTTTATATTTGTAGGTGGAAAGGGGAATCACTTCGAGAGAGCATCAGGAGGCATGAACACTTTCTTGCTTTGCAACTTGGTTTGAAGAAAGGGCAGAAGGTTTCTTTCATAAAACTAATCTTGATTTCGCCTAAGATGGACAAATTTATTTCCATTCTCTTTTGTTTCAGGTATTAGATGTGGGCTGTGGAATTGGTGGGCCACTAAGAGAAGTTGCTAGATTTAGGTAGGTGATTGTGACTCTTCAGTTCATTGACATTTTCATGCTAAGCAGTATGATGCAAGCACTTACGCAAAATTAGTTAAATCCTTTTCTGGCAGTTTGCCAGCACAATATGAAAACAAGCCTGAAAAGTTTGTATCATGCTGTGAAAGGTCCCATTTTTCCATATGCATTGAATTTTAAACTACTATTTCAGTTCTTAGTTGGCATAAAATGAAAATATCGTTTACATAGAGGATCTTGGAATTAGATAATTTATCTTGGTGAACACTACTCTGTTTTGAGCACATAAGACCTCATAACATTACAGCTGCATTACATAAATTACCATGTGTTGCCCATTTTTTTTTTCTTTGCT